CTGCCTGGATGTGACTATTCTTTTATATAAATTTAGGGCACATGATAGCAAAGAAAGCACAAAGCAAGAAAAGTGTAAATCCCATGGACACTTTATTTGGAGGTTAAATTTCTCTAATTTTGGTAGGATGATAGTGGTAGTAATATAACCAATGAGATAACGAGTGTTTGGTGATTGTCCTAGACAAAATTATAGAGTAAAAGCAAAAAGTATCTTTCATCATTTTTTCTTTATACTCTCCTCCCCAAACCAATTCCACTCTATACTTCTACTAGCACAGGTAGAAGTGATTATTATAATTACCGTAATAATGAATAAAAATGATGGGAAATATCTGTCTTGAAAGTCAGGATAGAGAATATCAATTGTGGAACTACATTTTCATATCCAAAGTATTTTTCCTGTGAGTTAGTTCTTTCCTTAATCACTTAAAATATGTATTTTCACTCTAGTTGAAACGATGTTTGTAAGTGCCCTGCAAGTGAAATTGAAATGAAATTCCTGGTCATGTTATAATTAGAATTTTCCAACAGTAATATACTTCACAAAATTAGCTTATAAAATAAGCTTATAAAAACAAACCTAGGTTTCTAATGTATCTTTAAAATGTTGGTGATAATTACAATTGTATGAGTTTATAGATCTCCATTTTCTTGGCAGGCTGGAGCTAAGAATCCTGTTGTTCGGTTATTTATTATCGATGCCACTTACCCCGAATATGTAGGTCCCAGAGAAGTGCCAGTTCCAACGATGATAGCCTCCAGGTAACTAATATCAGATATTCCCCAACTTTTAAACTGAATTTTCACATTGAACTTTCTTAATCAGTATTTGCACTTCTTTTCTAGTGAGTTTAAGATGTGTATACGACAAACAAAAATAAATATATAAATAAAAATGGCATGCAAAGCTAAATATATACAAAATTGAAAATTACAAATAAGTTTCTTAAATTGGTTTTAAAACAGTGGCCCCTTGTCACACATATAAAGATGATCATGTGGTGATTTATCTAAGTGACATTGCCTTCAGACATGTGAATGCGAATTGGGACCAATGGGCAGAAAGTAAAATTTGTATGTGTCTTCTTCCAATCAATCTTCTTTCAAGTTTGACCTACTTTCTCTCCAACCCAGGATCTTTAGATTATGCTTATCACATGTGCATAACAATCAAGAGAAGATAAGCCAACCATCTCCAGATATTAGCATTTTTCACAAGGAGCCAGTCTACTTGCAGTTATCTGGTTATAGAATTACCTGTTTGCAGATTCACTGCAGGCAGACAGGGCCATGAAAC